TGAAATCAACCCTGTGTATCCCTCGCCCGAGTTTCATATTGAGTGAATGAAAACGAGAACACGTGTGTTTGTGTGTGTTACAGAATGTCAAGTTTGTGTGCGCAGCTATCGTGTGCTCTTTTTCATTTCTGGGTAAAAGTGTGTACTTTTTAAACCATTTTATTGTGAAAGGATATTCGAGAGGTTTTTTTCTTTCTTTGACTTTTTAGAAGCTCTTGTACTTTATTCTGAACACACCTCTGGTGGACAACACAGTTCGTTTCAGTTTGGCACATACCCAAGAGTAGAATGGCTAGATCATTAGGAAATGTATATTTGAGTTTTAATAGATAAATTAATTTTCCTAAGAAGAGCCCTTTAGTATTTCTACCAGCAATAAATGAGGGCTCCATGTAACTACTTTAAAAATAAATTTAAAAATCTATAATAATTATTGTTAGTAGGGAATAATACATTTTCTTTGCTTCTTTTTCTTTTTTTTTGAGACATGGTCTCATGGTGAAGTGCAGGGTGGCCTTGACCTTGTGGTGATCCTCCCGCCTCAGGCCCCCAGTGCTGGGATTATAGGCATGCATCGTCATGCCCAGCTGTTTTCTGTTGTTGTTCGAGAAGGAGTTTAGGCCAGCCCTGAACTCACTGCGTAGCCCAGACTGCAACAATCCTTCTGCCTCGGTCTCCTGAGTGCTGGAAGTGCAGGTAGGTGCCGCCATACCTTGGTTCCTTGTGCTTATTGCAGTTAAAATCCTTCCTAGGAATAGATGATTTAAGCAAGTGTCTAAAAATCAGCCTACTGACTCTTGAGTCCCTTCTTTTAGAGTTTAGCGCCAGGTTTCACTGATGACTGTGGGGCTTCTCCCTGGCTGCGTATTGGCACCACTGGGGAAGCTCATATACAGAAGTCTGGGTACAATCAAAGGTCCATTAAATCAGATTTCCCCAGAGCTCATCTGGGACATTGGTAATTGTAGGGTCTGGGAGTCGAATGGCAGCTATAATTGAAAGCAAGAGACTGGTATTTTAGTCAGCCTAAGCTCTGCTCTTCTTTTTCGGAGCTATCTCCTTGTGAGTCCCTGTGAGCACCCCCCCCCCCAACTAGAAAGGACCTGCTGGAGGGACGGGGCATGGTCATGTGGTCTCACCTCACAGTGGCTGCTGAGGTCACTCCCTGCTGAACTCAGAAATCCTGAATGGACATCACATGACTTTTTCCAAAGAAAACTTCCAGGTTCAGCACGCCTTCCCCGCTGCGCGAGGCAGCCAGTAGAACCGCTGTTAGTTAGACCCGCTGGGGGCAAGGGAGATGGAACCCGAGAAATAACGTGGGTCATCCATGACTTAAATGCAGACTCCTAAGGAACGTGACTGCCTTTTGTTTCCTTTTCTTGCTTGGCAAAATGCTTCATTTACATCCCCTAGAATTTCTATTCCTCATCAGGTGGCTTTGGAAAATATTGAGAGACATTATATATTTCTGTTTCTCCCACAGACTCAACTTATTGGAAATAAATAAAAATAGCAATTGTTGTTGTATAACAATGGCCTTCAAGGCAGACCTGCTTCCTTTTGTCCACATGCTCCAGACTGTCTGTTTCCTGAAGGATTACAGAGCCTTCCACTGTGTTTGTTATTAAAAGGACCTGATCTTAGTGTCATTCCTGCTGGGTCCCGCTGGGACACTGCAGTGAGTAATTCAGGAGAAAATTCCCGTGGCACTTGGCACACATGACACTGGTGACATTGTTTCCATCAGCCCCCCCTCCTCAACCCACAAGCTGCCATCTGATTCTTTCACTTTGGAGACTGATCTCCGCTCAGGGTTATTAGTGGGCAGAAACAGATCCAGCGATACAGCTTGATTTTATTTGTGATCAGATTAAGACATGACAACAAATGAAATACAGTTATCTAAAGTGTGCCCTTCATAGTCTTATGTATCCAGTGAATGGAGTTCTTTGAGAGACGCGTGTAGACACCAGGCGCTTGAGGCACTCCACATCTCCCTGTGAGACCGAAGGAAGTGATGCCGCGGAAAACACCTCCACAGCGCAGAGGGCTTCCAGAATCTCCCTGGGGAAAAGCAGAGGGGAGGACATGAGGTGGGACCCTTGTCAACCATGGCCAATAGCAAAATGTGAGAAATTGTACAGTGTTTAATATGAAATTAATACCAACCATGACTTAGCTAAAAACTAGTACTTAAGCAATCAAAATACTTTGATTGAAATACTTTAGTGTTTTAAAATAGGTTCAAAAAATTAGGCTTACTGGTTTTAATACACTACTGAGAATTGAAGTGAAACTTTTATGGTTTATGTTATATACTAATTTTTGGATTGCTCACTGCTTCCAAGAAAGAGATCCTTGTGTTTGTCATTTTCTCAGAAGGCTTAACAACTGAAGGAGTAAAATAGTCAAATGAAGATTGGTCCTTCCAGCAAGTATTTGTCATTCCAGAGAAACAAAACCAAAGCAAACCCTCTTAGGGAAAAGTTGGTTTACGATGTGATAAACTTGGGGTCCTCCTTAGGTAGATACATTTCTCCTGCCTGTCATGGTATCTAACATCTGTAGAGTTAGACTATTGGGTTTCATTTATCAATAGCCACTGTGATCACTGAGAAAATGGGTGAGGACTGTGAAGCTGCAGTGGTACAAGGTGCCTGGTGGCAGGGGGCTCGTGTTCGGGGATGTGGGCACGGCCTCAAGGTATTGCATATGGGTTCCCCAAACAGGAAGTTCTAGGTTCCTGGGTGCCTACACTGGAAGGAATAGGTTAGAGAAAAGGTGCCAAAGACAATGCCTTCTTTGCCTGAGACTTGGCCAGCCTTGGTCCTGAAGGTAAGATAGAATTCCTGTATAGGGTCTTTGGAAAAGGTGAAGAATTATAGGTACTCGGAATTTAGAAGTCTGTAAAGTGTTTTATCTACTTTAGTCTTTCAGCAGGGCACTGTCTTCATCCTTTTCAGGGACCCCAAGATGGAGGTTTACATATTCTTTGGCATGGGGGTCATGCTTGGAAGGGGTCTTCTGGGGCCTGAGCTCAGGTCTAGGAAGTCATGGGGGCGAGCCCAAGGCCTTCGGGCAGAGTGGGAATGACAGGTGCTTTAAATATGCCCGGGTGAAGTGGCAGAGATGGAAGGGAAGCCAAGCTCCCTTGAGGAGCCCTGGCCAAAGGTCTCCTGCCTTTTGTATACACAGTATCGTCAAGTTTAGATCTACAAATGATAATAAGAAAAATTAGGAAAAAATGGTTTCTTGTGGTATTTGATGTGAAATCAAGCTGTAGTGGATCAATCCCTGTACTATCGGTAAACTTTTATTTTTACTGACTCCCCTAAGCAGAGCTTATTAACTTATTTTGCCTGGGATTTTACCAAACTTCTTACATAACCACTGTAGAAGCCAATGCCAGGACAAAGCCACACAGCGTGTTTCAATGTCTTACTCTAATAGCCAACATGGGAAGCTCTTCTGTTACTTACATTGCATGAGTCTTTCCCACCATGAGGGTTTCCGGCACAAATCATATTGAGTCCAATCACAGGATTAAAATTGTAGTGGTCTGCATTATTGCAGATTTTTCTATCTATGATGGTGATGTTGACTTCTCTCAGAAGATCAGACAGAGGTGACTTATTGCCAGTCAGCCCCCACCCTGCAATTTGACATGAACTTCCTGGTTTTACATCATCCCCATTGGCAGGCAGTTGAAGGATAGCCACGTTTTTGTTAAGTTTTGCTTTTTTGTTCAGCTGTCAAAAGACAAACACAGGGAGTTATCAGAAGGAGATAAATACTAACATTTTTATTTAAATTCTCATTCAACCTACTGGGACCTCCTTATATGAATTTGTTCCTTTAGAGGCACAGGGGATTCCATGTTGCCAAGTTTAGGAGTTTTTGTAAGTCAAGACCTCAAAGGTACATACCTGAAGAAGTTTAAGATCATTTTCATGTGTGTCCGGGTCATAGCATGGGTGAGGAAAGTCCTTCTGAATTGAGAATATCTGTTTTTCTGGCTCGTCCTTGGTTATTGAGTGAGCTCCAAGAATGACCTCGGACTTTCTGTCCCTAGAATAGACACAACACAGTTTACTGAGTTTATTCTTTAATTAGAAACTGATTGTATAATGAATTGATCCTTTTCATTTCATCATTTGTAAATGTGCTTTTTATGGAGATACTTTGTGGCTTGAAGAATGTGTATGCCTTAAAGGGCGAACGTGAGCTCATTTGGGATCGATTATCATCATCCCCTGGAATACCAGAGACTGGGCATCTTACGAAGAACAGAAAGTGTCTTTGGCTGGTGATTTGGGACTTCAAGAACCTGGTGTCGGCTACAGCTTGGCTTCTGGGGAGGGCGTCATGCTGTCGGCTTGTGGAAGAAAGTGTGTGTGTGTGTAGGGGCGGGCAGAGGTCCAGGCTGCTTATTATGTCCCTGAAGCTTTGCAGCAAACTAATGCTTTTGTTGCCTTTCTCTGCTGTACAGCTGACACTAGTCTCATTTATGACATTAGAACTGTACTTTTCAGTAGAGCATATTTTATTTTTTAATTATTTTTTTATTGGTATGTATTGGCAGTAGAGAATGATTACAATCATCATGAGAAGTTGGCACACATACATAACCCATCTGAATTCTTTTGTCCAGACAATAAAATGTTCTATAAATCTGCATGGTCCAGTGTGGTAGCCCCTCACCATATGAGGCCACTAAGGACTTGAAATATGGCCAGTGTATCACTGAGGAAGTAAATTTATAATGTCATTTGGTTTTTTTTTTTTTAATTTTTTTTTAAATTTTTTATTTATTTGAGAGAGAGAGAGAGAGAGAGAGAGAGAGAGAGAGAGAGTGTGGTGTGTGTGTGTGGCCAGCTCAGCCCACCAGGGGGCGGGGCTGGCTGGCATGTGGTGCTGGGGGATTGAACCGCGGTCCCTGATGCCTTGCCAAGCTTGTTCTAAGTAGGTGCCTTAGACCACTGAGCCATCTCTCCAGCCCCCTTATTTTTTTTTTTAATTTTTTTTTTAATTTTTTATTTATTTGTTGGTTTTTAAAAAATTATTATTCTTATTATTTTGTACTGAGGATTGAACTCAGGACCTCGTGCCTGCCAGGCAGGCACTAGTGTCACTGAACTATCTTCCTAGCCTTTCTAATTAAATTTGTATAGCCCAAGTGGCTATGCTATCAGATAGCTCAGGTTTAGAGGCCTGGGGAGAGGGCTCAAGGAAGTGCCGTAGGTGATAGAAACTAGGGGGTGGCGGAAGGTGTGAGTGCTTCTGCAAAGAGCACAGAAGGCACTGGGAGCAAGCTTTCTCTGCCTGGTGGCTGTGCCTGGGTCCAGAGTGAGCCCAGAAAGTTGACCTTTCCATGCTGAAGTGACTCTGTTCCAGCACCTGTACCTGGATAGTCCTCAGAATGAGCTTGGAGCTGCTGCTTCCTCATTGCCCTGATTGTGGGTTTAACTTCATTTGGGCTAAATCGAGTTCCTTCAGACTCAAGTAACATGAAAACACGTAGGGTCTCCACACACTGCCTTTTAGGATGTGAACACTTACACGGCACAGTGGGCTGCAGTCAACACCCACATTTTTCCAATCAAAGCACCAGCACAGATATTTCCTTTGTTGAGTTTAAGCAGGACCATGTAGGGTCTTGAGTGAGGAGCTACTTCATGGCCTCCAATAATTCTTACACAGCCATCTGTTCAGCAGGAAAAAGAAACTCAGTTTGCCTGAAAAAGTTCTTCATAAAGCCATGGCTCTAAGGCCAGATATGCTTTTCCCTCCAAGAGAAAGATCGTGGATGAAAGTGTTTCCCTTTGCGTTTACTCTGTGTGGACCTACAGACATCTTTTGTAAGTCCCATCCCTGTTGGACTCTGCAACAGAGGTCACAGCTGTTGTACTCACAGACTGAAGGTTGTATTCCAGGGTCATCAGCCTGGAAATCTGTCACAAAGCTTTAACCCCAGGCCTTGGGCTTTGGAAAGGGCAGAGAGCCCTAGGTTGGTCTACACCAGCAGCAGTTGCTGCAGGAGATGTTGATGACCACAAGTGCCCCCAACCCCCTTCTGGCTTATAATTAATTTGGGGAAGTAGAGGGGATTTTAGAAGTCTGCAAATTTCTCTTTTTACCCCAAACCCTTGTAGAAGTGTAACTTACAAACTGACATTAGTACTTCCTAGTAATGACCCTCTGGGAGTCTTTTGGTGATTGAGGTGTTCTAGTATTGAATTGCACTGTTCTTCCTCAAGCTTTGAGAGAATAAGCGTATCACACCTGAGGCTCACCTTCCCTTTCCAGGCCTAACTGCATGGTTTAACCTAAGGCCTCTGCAGTAAGGTAAGGAAAAGAACTAAGGAGAGGATTCTGTCTTAGAAAAGTTTCCTTCATGATAAGCTGGGATTAGCTTGTTAGAGAACAGGGAGACCTAAGCCCCCACACACTGTATTTCTGGCTGAGAGGACCTGTGTGTCCTGGTGGTGACTCTCGGCTACCTTCTCCAGCACACGCTCTTGGGTTCTCCTAAAGTAGTTCTCCTGCGAGAGGGCTGAGATTCATGGTTTCTGCAGTAGACGGCAATGCTTCTCATTCCATCATTAAAGTACTGAACTCACAGTAAGTTATCAGTGATGGAGACAAGCTTTTAAACATAAGGATTGATGTGGGTGAGGGTAAGAGGAAGAGGATGACCACAGCCCTGCACTTCTAAGGGGAGTTGGCAGGCAACATTCTAGGCTCTAGAGAGAAGAGGGTAAGGGACTTAAAGAAACCAAAAGAACTTCAGCCACATTCCCATTTTTCGTGGGGTGACTCATATTCAGATATTTCTACAGATCCATTTTTGGGCTTTGTGGAATGCGGAAAACAAACTCAGCAGAACACTTGTAGAGCACTCCATGCTTTCAGTGGAGCATGTATATCAGCTTCAGGGGTTAGTCTGCATCTGCCTTCAACCACTCTTAGAGTCTCGGGGAGGGGTTGGAGGAGTGAGGGCATTTAAAAAATTGGTATTTTCTGGTCCTTATGCTAAATTTAATCAGAATTTCTGAGGCTAGAACAGGATGTCAATATTTAAAAAAAAATCTTGCAACTATTCTAAGGAGTAGGATGGTTGAGCCCGTTAGCTCAGGGTCTCAGGTCTTTTTTTGTGTGTGTGGTACTGGAAAGTGAACTCAGGACATTGTGCTTGCCAGGCAGGCGCTGATGCCACTGAGCTGGGCCCCAAGGGCCTGAGGTCTTGCTTTGCTGCCTGTTCTCCTTGCGGGCTCACATTGCTCTCTGTGAAAACAGGAAACAAAGTGGAGCAGAGCAAAGAGCCTTTGCTGCTGCTTTTGAGGATAAAATAAGATTTTTAAGACAATCTGTCTCCTTTTCAGGAGGATTTTACATGCCTTAGTATGTTAAATACTCAGTTGTCTGCTGTGCTTGTAATATGCCCATCCTTTAGTCTCAAATGTCCTGCAAGCTTGTTTCCTTTTATACTTTCCTTTTAGTTTTGGATGCAAGGTAACCCAGAGAGGTTCCTTGGAAATTCCCAGCATTTATGTTATCCCCTGGGGAAGAAGCCCTGGCTCTCTCCATATTTATCAGCTGATTTTGCCCCATCCCTAGGTTCTTCAAAGAAGATATAGAACTACTCAGAAGCCACTGTGCTTCCCTCCAGTGACAATATTACAAATGTTACAGCACTTCAACCCCTACAGGCAGAGGTCATACCAAAGCAGGTATGAGTTCTGTATTGGTTACACTCAGTGACTTCACAGAAAATCCTGTAGCTCTCCCGGAGAGGCCATGTGCGGACTTTCCCAGTGTCCGGAGGTTCCCCCAAGGAGAGGCTAGAGAAAGACGGTAGTTACTAAGATTCTAATAGATCCCGATTCCGGTGGCCAGGTCAGCTTTGTCTTATTATTATTATTTTTTGCTGTAAAACTATCTGTGCATTTCTGCAGAAAGAAAGGCTGAGTTTGTAACTGATGCTGCAAAAGGGAGCTTTGAAAGTTAATATTTTTTTCCTTTAGGACAGGTGGCTTCTCCAGACTTCTTCAGTCCTAGAACATAAACCATCCTTCGCACCTCTCCTCGGCCCAGAGGAGTGGGGCTTGCAGAAGCTGGCACCAGGAGGCTAAAGTCCACTGCCTTTCCTTAGGAAGGGAGGGAGCATGCCTGAACGGGCGCATTCTCACTACCTCCCGCCCCGACCTTGTTATAAAAGACTCCAACACCTGCCTATGATAAGGTGGTGATTTGAGGCAAATGGGTCCCTTCCATGTCCTTGGAGGTAGCTGTGAATAAATCCCTTTAAAAAAAATTCTTCCTTGACTTGGTCCGAGGTGGGCAAATGAACCCAAGCTATGAAGCTTTGGCACTGGTAACCAGCTAGGGCACCACTATTCTTTTTCTGACAGGGAACTTGTTTCCCCAACTCAAACATATTTTGCATGTTTTGTAGTTCATTTTTTATTTTTGTGAGATAGGGTCTTGCAATGTAGTTCAGGCTGACCTTGAACTCATGCTGTAGCCTACACTGTACTTAAACTCTTGGTGATCCTCCTGCCTCAGGCTCCTGAGTGCTGAGATTACACCCTTGCTTCACCATGCCTGGCTGTTTGCTCATCTTTACATTGTTCTTTTTGGAAATTTTCAACTTACAAATTGGCAGCAATAAGCGTTAGCAGTTCTGTTATCTTTTGGAAAGATAATATGAAGAAAAAGGAAGGATTTTTCTTTTAAAATAAAGAATTCAGAAAGGTAATTGAAAAAAGATTGCTAAACCTTTTAAAACTTGGGGGAGATAACTCTTTTGGCACAATAAGGTGTTATTATCAAATAGTCACTGAAAGTTAGCTCCACTTTGCTTAGTGATCATAAAAATAACAAGAATCAGCCTTACCTTCAGGAATGAGTAGAAGAAAAACAGCTATCGAGAGAGAAGATGCCAGAAATGCATAGGAGTTGCTCATTGTGGCTGGCTGCTGTCCCTGCATCAATCAACAGGAAGGCCACTTGTCATTCTCAGCTGGGTCCCCCTATATAGGAGGGTCAGAGGATGTGGCTCCCTCTCTTACCTTTCTTTCACACGTCAGAGCTTTGCACTGGGAGACGAACCCCAAGCGAGAGCAGCGCATGACCGCTCAGCGCCCGGGGCACCATCTACTTCCTGGGGACGTTCAGGGAGAGCACTGCCAGTCTGCAGGGCTGATTGCCCACAAGAAGAGGCGGACGCAGCACACAAGAAGAGACTGCACATGTCTCAGCCAAGATGTTTTCATCAACAACAATATTACTTTCAGTATCCAGGAATGGAAGTTCTTTGAAGATTCAAAACTCAAAGCTTTCAGAAAAGACCTAAAATTGGTCATCAATCAAGCGACTTTCTGGCTGTCTCCTTGGGTTATTTACTTATTTAAAAGAGAATGAAAAAAGAATAAAAATGATACAGAACTTCAAAACAAGATGATAGGAAACTAGTAATGGTTATTATATTGCATATTATTATCTTCAAAGTAGTCGCTCACAAAATAGGACAGATATACAGCTACTTTCTCTTAGTCAATGAGAAGAAAAATTTATACTAGTAGTGTTTAGACAAGATATCATGTTTGCATCTTGTACTCTGAATACTATGAAGACAATGATATGCAATGTGTTAATTATTGTAACTGTCCTACTAACCTGCTTTGAAACTGTCTCATTGTGATTTATTTCTCAATGAAATTAATAAAAAACAAAAACAAAGTAGTTGCTCAGATTACTAGTATAAGCATGTAAAACTGATCAAGCAATATAAGCCCTAATTGTTCCTTTTAATGAACTAATAGAAATTAGTGATACAGTTATCTTAGCTGTCTTACGTGTATGCATATATATTTAATAATAAGCTGAGCACAGGTGGAGATCAGGAAGGAAAGAGGTGCACAAAATTTCTGCCTCTACTTTCCAGCTTTGTGGAGAAGGGTTTGTTGTGATACCGCCTGGAACCTGGGGATGGTGTGGGGATATGAGTTGGTGAGGTGGGTACTGTTGGCCCTGCTCAGTCCTGTTATTGTGCCTCTTCTGATGGTTTAATGTCACAGCTCTAGATACTGCAAGTGTCCTTCTTTAGCTGAGAAAGTGTGAATAAGGCAGGACTGATGTTTCAGTGTTGGGGAATGTCTCACTAAGAAGAATCAACCTCAGTTCCTGGAGGAAGAGAATGAAGAAAGGCTTCTATCAGAAGTGTTTTCAGTCCTTTTTAGAGGTCAGGATGTGGTCTTTGTTGTGATATATATGGTCATACATTTTGTCAGGATGTTTGGTTGTGAGCCACCCATCCCCATGGTTGACACACTGATGACTTCAGACCTAGTGGTTTCTTTTTTAGAAGTCAACAACCTCATACTTTTAGAACTAGCGGTTACATTTTTAGGAATCATATAACTTTAGAAGGAAATCCTGAGACCCCTGTGTTTCTTTGATGTAGGTCTCATTAGTGTATCCTTCTCATCATTTTTGGTAATAGTGGTCGGATACTCTGCTTCTGGTTTTGATGAGTAATTTTAGTGCAGACTTAGAAAAAGTCAAATTTTAATTGACAGCACCTACTGAAAACATTTGAAGGAAACAATGACAATATTATTTCAATATGACTGTAGCTGCTATTTATACTGACTTTTAGCAGATTTATAGGATATAATTGGTATGCCATCAGGTTCACTCATTTAAAAGCGCACAACCCAATAGATTTGAAGATATTTATAGGGTTCTGTAGTCATTATACTTTAATTCTAGAATATTTTCATCACCCCCAAGAAGCTTATAACCGTTACTGTCACTCTAAATAGGAAACCTCTAAATTTTCTTTCTATTTCATTAGATTTACCTATTAGGGACATCTCAGATAAACAGATCATATAATATGTAGTTGTTTTGTGACTGATTTTTTTTCACTTAAAAAGTTTTTAAGGTTTTTACATATTGTAACATGTAGCAGCATTATAGTCCTTTTATTGTCAGAGAAGGTTCCATTATGTGAATATAGTGCATTTTGGTTTTTCATTGGTGAGTTGATGGGTATTTGGCTTATTTCTTATCTTTAGCTATTCAAATATGCCTCTGTGAACAGTCTTCTGTAAATTTTTATCAGAACTTTCATTTTCTCTGACTTTACATCTAAAAGTGAAATTACCAAATAACTTGGTAGTTACATAGTAACTATGTGTTTAACATTTTGAGGAGCTTCTAAACCATTTTCCAATGTAGCTACATTTCCACTAACAATCTGTAAGACTGCAAATTTTTTCTAAATTACTGCCAATATTAATATTATGTCTTTTGATAATAGTCATTTTAGAAGGTGTGAAATAGCATCTCACTGTAGTTTTAATTTGTGTGTCTCTAATGACTAATGATGTTGAGTTTCTTATGTACTTATTTTCCATCCATATCTCTTTGGTGAAATACCTTTCTACTTTTAAGTTGAGTCATTTGTCTTTTGCATTGAGTTATAACTTTTAAAATATGCTAGACACAAGTCCCCTGTTACATAAATAATTTATAAACATTTTCTCCAACTCTGTGGGTTTTCTTCTCTCTTTGTTGGTGATATCTTTTGAAGGATGAAATGAAAAAAATTTTTTTTAAATGTATTTAGGGCAGGGTCTACAGGGTCTCACTACACAGATCAGACCTGTAGTGATCCTCCTATTTTTCAGCCTCCCAAGTGCTGAGATTACAGGTGCATGCCACTGTGCCCAGTCTTAGGCCCCGGTCCAGTGCACTCCAGGGGAGGGCCTGGCACGGCATGCCAGAAATTTTTTTAAAAATTAATTTTATTGAGAAAGAAATAGCAATGAGACAGTTTCAAAACCAATTAGAGGGACAGTTTCAATAATTAATACATTGCATATTGTTGACTTCATTGTGGTTATTCATAGTATAAGATGCAGACATGATATCCTGTCCAAACACTATTAGTTCAAATCTTTTTTCTCACTGAATTAAGAGAAAGTAGCTGTATATGTATCCTAACTATTTTGTATATACAGATACAAAATGGTCCTTCATTTATATCCCCTTTTTTTGTTTAGTTTTGTCAGAGATGGGTACTCCATTGCCATTTAAATATTGTAGGCGCGTGAATTCAGCAAAATAATCCAATATAGTCCAGTAGTCCATAATAATAGTGGGTTATCTATAGGACTGGCAATGTCAGAAGTTATTGACTTGAACATTTTACAGTCTAGCATATTAATATGGCTTTACTTTTTATACTTCATTTTTATACTTTTCTGCTGGATGGTTAAGACCAAGATAAAGTGAGACCTATATAACAAGAAATGTAACTTTTGTATGTGATAAGGTTAGTCAAATCCCCTCAGAATTTACCCTGAAACCCTGTACTGCAATTTGTAGATCCTTTGTCAGTGTCAGCCATGTGGATGAGTCATGGCTGTTGCTTGACCAATTTCAGTGAAAGCCTGAGAGAATGTTTTCTCTCCATGTGACTCTCCTTTGGCACACTCTGCATCATTGATCATTTTCCTGATGGAAGTTTTTAAACTTTGATGAATGCTAACTTCTCAGTTTCCCTGTCACTGGGAAATAAGAGCTAACACCTAAAAAGAAACTGACCAACATATTCTCCATGAACTTAGGTATCTTAAAAAAAAGTTCCGGCTTTTTGCTGGTGGACACCGCGGTGGAGGCATCATCAGGCTGTCTTCCGACTGCCGTCTTGTCTAAGTCAGAGTCTCCCAAGGAGCCGGAACAGCTACAGAAGCTCTTCATCGGAGGGCTGAACTTTGAAACAACTGAGGAGAGTCTGAGGAGCCATTTTGAGCAATGGGGAACACTCATGGACTGCGTGGTAATGAGAGACCCGAACACTGAGCGTTCCAGGGGTTTTGGGTTTGTCACTTATGCCACTGTGGAGGAGGTGGATGCAGCCATGAATGCAAGGCCACACAAAGTGGACGGAAGAGTTGTGGAACCAAAGAGAGCTGTCTCAAGAGAAGATTCTCAAAGACCAGGTGCCCACTTAACGGTGAAGAAGATCTCTGTTGGTGGCATTAAAGAAGATACTGAAGAACATCACCTACGAGATTATTTTGAGCAATATGGAAAAATCGAAGTAATTGAAGTTATGACTGACCGAGGCAGTGGAAAAAAGAGAGGCTTTGCTTTTGTAACCTTTGATGACCATGACTCTGTGGATAAGATTGTCATTCAAAATACAACACTGTGAACGGCCACAACTGTGAAGTGAGGAAAGCCCTGTCCAAGCAGGAGATGGCTAGTGCTTCATCTAGCCAAAGAGGTCGAAGTGGTTCTGGAAATTTGGTGGTGGTCGTGGAGGTGGTTTTGGTGGCAATGACAGTTTCGGTCACAGAGGAAACTTGAGTGGTCGAGGTGGCTTTGGTGGCAGCCATGGTGGGGGTGGATATGGTGGCAGTGGAGATGGCTACAATGGATTTGGTAATGATGGAAGCAATTATGGAGGTGGTGGAAGCTATAATGAATTTGACAATTACAACAGTCAGTCTTCAGATTTTGGACCCATGAAGGGAGGAAACTTTGGAGGCAGAAGCTCTGGGCCCTATGGTGGTGGAGGCCAATATTTTACCTAACCACGAAATTAAGGTGGCTATGGTGGCTCCAGCAGCAGCAGTAGCTATGACAGTGGCAGAAGGTTTTAAACACTTCCAGGAAACAAAACTTAGCAGGAGAGGAGAGCCAGAGAAGTGACAGGGAAGCTACAGGTTACAACAGATTTGTGAACTCAGCCAAGCACAGTGGTAGCAGGGCCTAGCTGCTACAAAGAAACAATACTCATGCATATGGGCAAAAAACTCGAGGACTGTATTTGAGACTAATTGTATAACAGGTTATTTTAGTTTCTGTCCTGGTCTTCCTTCGCCTCCAGTGTGCAGGTGTGGAGCTTCTGCTGGTCCAAGTCTAACCTATTAAGAACTTAACAGGGAGACTCCAAGTAGCCTGCGGGATGCATGA